AGTTCCGGAGACCCGGCTGCAATTTTAAATCTCCGCGCTGATTAAACTCAGGCAGTGGAATGGGTGTTGCAAAAATCCGTAGAGTGGATGACCGACTGCAATCTACTGTTCTGTTCCGCAATTCTCCGCTTTCTTCCTAGTAAATCTTTCATCAGTCCCGACGCGAATCATCCTTCAAGCGTCCCGCTTCTTTGGGATTTCCCATGGCCACAGTTGGCTAGCCAATTTGTCCTCGTTCTTTTCATTTTTTTCTTCTGCACTTGCATCCACACACTTGTCATGCTATTTATGAGTTTATTATTTTTTCCCTACTTTATTATTTAGCTACCCCTATGCTGCTGCTCCCGCGATCCCATGTCCTTCGCCGCTTCTCAGCTAAATCCTTTCGCTGGCGCTTAAAACTTTCTTTTACTGCCACTGCTGCAATTTTTCACAACTTTTTGAACAGCGTTTTTTCAACATTCCTCCGACTCCCTGGTCTCAAGCTGCCCCTCATGCGTTCATGCCCATGTTATTTATTTAGTGGCTTTATCCACATACCCTACGAAAAGGAATCTGAATGCATCAATTATTATTATTTATTTTATTTGTTTATTTTATTTTCAACAGCAAAAAATACACTTTTACTTGAGAAAGAAGTATAAATGTAGAAAGCTCTAAAAACATTTTTATGTGTTTTACCTTATTACACTTATTTAAACAATCAGATTGGTATTGGTGTAATACTTACTCATAAATAATAAAAACAATTTCAACTCGCCTTTTGACACTTCGCTTTATAAACTGATTCCTCCAATTGGCTAAATTAATTCTGTCAATTAAAAGCTTTAAAAATTGAATTATAAACTTATATCGTTTATCAAATGCTAATAAAATAGATTTATAGTGCATTGCCTGGCTTCCGTTTAAAAGTCTGTGTTTTAAATTGCTTTATTTTTCTGCTGGATATTTTTTTAATCTCCTCTTTCACAGTTGCTTAAATTGTTTGTAATTTTTTGTCAGTGGCGGTTGTTTCTGTGTGTTTCGGTTTCATTATGACAGCAGACGACGACGAACTGCTTTTGAGTTTTACTCCAAGTGTTGTTTTTAGTCTTTTTGCTCGTGTTGGCATTTATGTTGGCTAGATAAATAGTTTTTCGCCCATTCTCAGCTGGTGGCTTTTAATTATTTCCAAGTTGAAAGCGCAAATTGAAAATGCCAAAAAATTATGAGAAAATTGTTTCGTAATTAGTTGGAAAAGAAGAACAGTTTTTATTTTCACTTAATTGGTTAGATCAAGAATTCAACTGCCTCGTCTCTTATGAACTCGTAAATGAGAAAATCCTGTACGAGATTAATTTTTAATTGTGAACTGTAACCTTCGATGTCGATTTGCATGAACCAAAGTTAAGAGTTTCGTTGTTATTTATCATTCATGCCACATGCTGCATGCAATCGAAACAAACATCGAAGTGGGAGAGCCAAGAACCAAGGAAAATCTCTAACTAAATTCAAGTTTGCAAGCACTTCGGGCCATTCTCAAAAATATGTACGAGATGGAGGCGAAGTTTTCGCAACTTCACAAGACGCCCGAAGCCACTGGCGAGATTTGCTCCCAAGTATTTGCCACTCATATGCATAAAATGTGCAACATACAGCAGTCAAGTGGCGGAGTACTTATTTTATTGACACGCAAAACGCAGACAAATGCCCAGGAGAGACAGAAGGATACAATTCCGACACCTGTAAAACTCTCGTTTCCCCAGTTGATAATTTCACAAGTTCCTTTTTACTTTGCCCCGCTTGATTTCCATTCCGGTTATCCCTCAAAGGACCAAAAAATAGACGATAAATGGTTCGAAAGGTTGGCTGTCAGTGCACACGAGCATTTTGATTCGGATTGTTCCTCAATTGGACAACTCCCCACTTTCTGTCTGAGATGGAAATTTTGCATTAATTTTGTTTTGATTCCCTGCTCTTGTGATTTCCCTGTCTCCCTTCCCTCTTATTCCTGCCCTGCCGAAATGTTCATAATATTTTTCACATTTCATTGGAAAATTAAATTCCTGGCATATTTTTTGGCCCGGCAAGCAGGGCATGGACCGCAACATCAGCGTAAGCAGCCGGCACACTCGAAGCACCGAGCCCCAAAATCGGACCCAACTATGGTAGACAACAACATCTGGCTTTGGGTCCGCTGTCAGTTGGCCTCTTGGAGAACAGCATTTCCATCTCGGGTTTTTCGCTTTCGTTTTTGCATGACAAGCTTTTCTGTTATTGAACAATCACCGGCAAAATCTCGGAGTGCAAAAATAGAAAATATAAATGGAAGAAAGCCCTCTAGGACCTGAGTAGTAAACACAACCAAACCTTTGTTATCCTAAGTATTTGCACGTCGACAGAAATTCAAACAATTTCTAGGTACATCTTAATAAAAACCTCATATACCAATTTAAATAAAAAGAGATATGCAGAGAGGTTACACTTAACTTGTATACAAGGTTTATTCTGTAAGATAGTTCCATTGCCTTCTCCATTTTTGCATATTTTATTTATATTTCGAAATTTTTGTAAAAGTAATTATTATATGTTTTTAAGGGAGCATTCAATGTATTTCTTAAAAGTTTAGTGCATTTAAATTTATTGATTAAACCATAAAGTTGTAAAACCATACTTTTTTTAAAATTTAAATACATTGTTTAATTTGTTGTTATTTCCATATCTTTTAAAATTTTGAAAAGTAAGTATGTACATGTAATTTCTTACCTTACTAACATGTAAATAGTTAGTAGTCGGCTTTTAACAAATTTATTAATAATAAATAGGGCATATTATACATAAATAGTATATATTATAGCATATATTATATATTTAAGTTCTTCCTTCACATTTGCTAGTGTAACAGACCCCCTTAACTTTCACCCGGTTTATATATAGGCGGTTTTGAAATATTACCATACGGATCACGGAGCTGATAGCTCCTGATCTTCCTCGGGGCCATCCATAACCTTTGGGCTGACTCCTTATCACACACTCGCATTGGCCACTTATCAGCGCTGTCTCCCCGCCGCGCTTCTGTTATCTGCGGACTGCTTGCAATCAATCAACTACAATCGCACGAAGGGCAACTGGGACTCTGGTCCTCCGCCGGGTTTGGCCTCTCTTTATGGTTTGGCTGTTGATTTTACTACAAAATAAATACATGAAACGCAGCAGGGAGCAGGGGGACATGAGTTGGTGGAATAACAATATATATAAAGTCCAAACTGATAAGCAAAACATCAGCGGGAGCAAAATGTTCAACGGTTGACGGTATGTAATCGAAATCAAATCAAAACAAAAGGGGGATTCACTTCAAGCCGAGATCGAATCAAAGATACCCTGCGAAGTGAATCGGATTAATTGCCGGTTTCTCTATTATCAACTTTTCCAATAAGGGATGTCGTGCTCCCCTCCTTTGGGGATAGGGTATTCATAGAATAAGGACCCCTCCCCCCTCCTGCAAATCCTTTGAAATATGGCTTGACCAAAGGCATTTATGTGGGAGACAGCCCAGCGGGAGATTTTTGGCCAGTCCTGGTTACGATAACATGAGCTGACAGCCATTAGGAATGTGGAGCCGACTGCAGCGGTGACTTTGATTGTGTCGGCGTGCGTGTGATATACGCGCGACCATTTCATTCATGCCCCGGCTTTGCTCCCAACTGCGCTCCACAAACTCGTCTTCCTCTTATTTCCATTCATTCGCCACGCATTTTGAAAGCCGAGAAGATGTTTAACAAAAAAAAAAGACACAGCGAGCGTCAATCGTTATCTGCTAGAAGGCCTGACATCCCCCACACTTTGAAAAACTCAGCTCTTTGATTTCTTGAAAACTGTTCTCTATGTGATCTTACCATGGAAATTAATTTATTTACAAGAAACCCTTAACGATTAAATTTAAGAGTAATTTTGTAATGTTTTTCTGAGCTTCCTGATATGTTTTAATTGGTAATAAAAATAATATTTAAGTATGTTGTGAAGGAAGCATTTAAATGAAATATATAATTTTTCGTTATGTTATTTGTAAAATATCGTAATCAAGGAATGACGCATTAAATTCGCGTTATATTTTAAAAATATTAAAATGTGGGTTAGATTTTTTTGTCAAATTGTATTTCTAAATAATTTATTGTAAAAGTCTTGGATTTTAAAAAGTGTTAACAACAAATAAAAACAAGTTTCAGTTTAGATTTTAAGTCACAATAAGTTTTGGTCTTACAAATAAATTTACTGTAGTTGGTTTTTTAACAAATAAAGGTATGGTATTTTTTTTTTTCGTGCTTTCGCACTTATATCCTTTTTTTTTTTTTTTTTTCAGGATTGCAGTTTTTGATGCACAATTTCTCAGAGTGCATCGCGGGCTAGCGGGTATGTGTGTGCCGGAATCTGTGTCTGTGTGGGTTGTCGATAGTCGGCTCAGCCCGAGAGCCTGCGAACGAGGAGCGGAAAACGAGCGAAGGCGACAGCAGCAGAAGCAGCATCGCCTCGGAATCAGCATCAGTGGAATCCATCGGCCATTCGTGTTTGCCGCTTCGTGGGCAACGGACGCCTTCTAAGAACTCAAGTGGAGTGACGGGCACGAGCTGAAAAGCGGAACCGGAAACGAAATCGAAAGAGAGCAAACAAGCCTGTTGAGGCTTTGGCGGCGCGTTCAAACCGGAAGTAAGGATAAATTCACCGATTTCTGACTTCGCTGGCAGTTGTGCGCCATCCTGTTGCGCCGTCGCAATATATTTTCTAGTTTTTGCGTGTGTGTGAGTGGGTTAGTTGTGTCTAACGTACCGGAAATGAGCCTGCAGCTCATTAATGTGTGCCGTTTTTTTACAAACAAAGTGCACTGAAATGCGACAAATTCAAGTGAGGGGAAAACGTGATTACGTTGCAGAACCCAAATGTAGTGGAAAATGTGCAAAAAGAGGCTGGAAAGTTTCCGAAAATAACCTCAAACTGTGTAAACTCCTCTGCCACATGCTGAAATCGTTCGTTGAATAAATATGTATGTTTAAAATCGGAATCAGTCGCAGACCCAGATAAGATCGGGTCAAGAGTTCACTACAAATCGGGAGGGAATAGTCGAAGTCTCATAATCTTATAAATAAAGTGTAAAGTGATAAGCAGCTGTCGTGGATGAGCAGAAAAAATCTCTCGATTTCTCGGTTGCCTTGTGAAATGATTTGCAGCGAAACTATAAGCTGACAGATAGAATGTGTTATTCAGTAAATAGTGTAATATAAAAGATTCATTTAAAAGTAAATACGCTGCAAGTTTACTTTGTGATTACTGGAGTATTTTCAATCATTCATTGCATTGCAACGATGATCTTTGCAAAAAAACAGATCAACAAAAATACAGAAACGTGCCTATACTTTAACTGATAATTGTTAATTGATAAGAGATCCCAGAATGAAAGCGGTCTCAACTTTGAACGAAGAGGATCCGCTTCCGCAGCTAAGTGAAAATGAGATCACTTTTAATTAAATTAGTTCATGAAATAAAAATCTATATATTATAAATATATATAATATAGTATATGGATATAATAGGATTGACCAAAACAAAAAATGCTTCACACTTCTGCAAACAAATAAAATTTATATTTATTTTGGACTCTGTCTGAAGCCTTGTATTCCAACAAACTTAAATTAAAAACATAATGTGCATGTATTAAATTACAAAGTGTTGTTTTTAACATCTACAAGGATTTTATTGGCGGCAGTAAATAATATGTTTACTTTTGCACAATAGTTGATTAATGAAAACCTAGTGCTTTCCATAAATTGAAAAAATTTTAATTTCCTCATAAACTTAAAAACAATTATAGTTAATAAAAACAGACTTTAAAGTTTAAAGAAGGTTTGATAAGTAAAAAAATAATATATTTATGTCTTCAAATCAATTTCAAATTCCTTTCTTCAACTTTTAAGTTTAGAAGACATTTTTTAAATCCCTTTCCTTTGCGCATATGCTTAAGTAAACGTCGAGGGCAGATTTAAAGGAAGTGCCTCTTCATAACACACTGAATGGGGAACTCCAAAGCCTTTGGCGCATTTACTGTCTCCCGCACCACATGGCGTATACTTGCCGCTCACCTTCTGAATCCCGCACAAAAAAACATGAAACACGAAACACTCGCAAGTGACATATTCGGGATTACCTCCTCACCGACGCACTCCGATGTCACCACGACTGTCAGCCGCTCACTGGGTGCATTAGCGGGGGCCCACTGTGCGCCTTGCCTTTAATTTTCTCATGCGATCCGTCCACTTGTTGGACACCACTTGGCCCCAAGTCAGCCCAAAAATGTCGCTCCGACGGTTGACATCAATCTGGCTTGGCAAAAAAGGTGTTCGAGGGAGGGGGGGTGGTGGAAAACTCCTGCATATGTCTTGGCCTGAAACATGATAGACCATCGGGATTAAGGTCGGTGAAGAAGGAGGCGAAAGTAAACCAGTTGACAGACGGAGCAACTGTGTCAAAATGAAGAATGAAGAGCAAAAACTGGCTAGATAGACGAGTGCAAATACTTATTTAAGGCTTCATTATGACCCGCATAAATCCCAGCTGTGCTTATGGCCCGAATGTTTAAAGGACCTTAAAAGCAACACGTGCATTCTGCCTTCCCTTCAATTATGGACCATATAAGAAAGCCGGCCGAGAAAACCGTTAAAAAGGAGCTTAAGCAGCTGGCAACCTGGAAACTAGTTACTTTTTTTCGGTTTCCTTGGCCATAATTTTTTTAATTACAAAGCCATAAAAATTAAACGAACCAAAAGTGCGGCCAGCGATGACTGCAACTAAGAACTAAGTAGCCCGACAAGCAGGACAGCAACAGCAATAGCAACAGGAACAATAACAACATTGGCAAACAGGGATAAAAAGGCAGTCGGAACAAGTGGAGAAACGGCAACGATTTAAGCCACATAAAACCAACAAACAGACAAACTGCCAGTTGGCGAAAGAGGCCATGGGATTTTGGTGGGAAAGCACTATTTACAGCCAACTGCTTGGCAACACCTTCGGCTTTTCGGGGGAAATCAGGATGGGGGAATCGAAATGGGAAGAGAAACTGGTAGGAGTAACGCCTGCAGTTGACTAAAAGTCGCTCCAAATGGCGTGGGGATATTTTTTTGTTCAACGTTTAAACCAAATTTGCATAATAGTTCTTCTTTCCGTTCACTGCAAATGTGCGAGAAAGCAACTGGCATCAAAATCTAAGTGAGCATTTCCAAATTATGCAAATTTTTGCCAACTGAAAGCGAACGACTCTCGCTTTAAAAGCTGCAGCAGCCGTACACCGGTGCGTATGCGTATTGATCTGAGCATTTTGCTGGGGAGAAATGGCAAACTGAATGAAAATGAAGTGTGGTTTACTGCTATAAACAAGTTATTCCCATTTAACTTTTCCCCCAGAACTTCTACGAAATTTTTTTTTTTTTTTTTGTTGAATTGTTCTTGAAAAACTCAAGTTGAGTATTTCTGTTTTACTGATTCGATAATTCACTTTTTCGTGTTTTAAATTACCTGTTAAATTATTGTAGTTGTTTTCAATTCAGTTTTCTCTTTTCCAAGTCTTTTAAGCAATGTGATCTTTAATTTTTGAAAAATATCTTGAATTCCCTTACATCTTGTAATCGTATTTCCCGCACTCAACGATTCTTGTCCATTTATTATCCGGTTAGCTCTCCTCTACTAAAGCATTTTGACAAGAACACATAGTATCAATCCATTCACAACGTTTTTCCCAGCCATTCCCACTCTGAAAATAACCCATTCTCTATTATTTCCCTTTCTGGTTTTACTCTTTTTCTCACCTGCCTTTGCAAGCTCTCAGTTTACAGCTGAAAATCACGCCTCTGGCAATTTTAATCTCGTTTATTAGCCATTTTTCAAGTGATACACATAATTTTCAATTTTCCAATTTCTCACCCAGCACTCGAACAATTTCCACCTGTGTTTCTCTGCTCTTTTTTCCTGCGATTTCCTGCCTCCTTCTCTGTTTTTTTCGCCTATTGTCTTTATCGAACATGAAAAAGTGCATTGCATATTGCATGCACGTCGAATAAGGGAGAGATGAGTCGAGCAGTTGCAGGGAAAGGACAAACACGACGCCCATTTGGAGGCCATTAGGGCCAGGATGGTCCATTCGAGCAGGGGAGCAAAAACAAAAGCCAACAACAATAACAAGGAGCCTATGCCGAGCGGAGCATGATGGCGGTGAAATGCCAACCAGGTGGCGGAAAGGCACCAAAAAACTATCCACTTTGTTGTCTTAGAAAACGAATATTTTGTACCTGGTATTTACCGATTATTAAAAGTTTTCTTTTATTTACTGATTATTAAAATATTTGTGTTTCTCTGCAGGAATTTTTGGACAAAAAGAAGAGATAAAAAGTACTCTTAATGATTATTATGGCTTTTATATAAATGAACTTAAAAAAAATGTAATTTCAAAAATTAAGTTACATTTGTTTTAACGAATACATTTACTGTGTTGCCTCTGACAAGGAATTATTGGTAGTTGGTAGAAGTATTTTCAGATTTTATATTTTGGTTTTCGTTAGCAAGTTTTCATAGCATTAAAAAAAGGTTATAAAAATGAATAAAGTCCAACGAATACATTATACCTTTGAGTCCAGACTTAGAGGGTATTAAAATTCCCCGAGAAACCTAATAGAACTCAGATCGCAGCGGCCCTTGTCGCCCTGTGCACCCTTAATTTTTTGCCATTTTATGGGGCTCGCCAGTGGATGAGGGGGGGATGAGCGGTAACAAACTGCTCCGTCCTTATGCAATGACTGCGTGCTTCCGTTGTCATCGTTTCCGGTTCCTTTGTCGCTTTTGTTGCTACTGCTTCCGGATCCTCTGCTGCATGCCACGCACTCAAAATTTACGAATAAACGCAATGAAAATAGACGAGATCTGCTCCCCCTTCTTCTTTCCTTCGACTCGGTGAACATCTTCTTTTTTTTAGCCAGCTCCAATTTAGTTTGCAACTCCTCAAAGTTGATGTTTCCTTCGCTGCACGGGGAACTTTCTTTTCCTACTTTGTTATTAGATTTGCATGCCAGCAGCGACGACGACGATGAGAATTTCCGCCTTACAATTCATGTGGAACATATGAATGATGTGAGTGCGTTCCTTCCCCCGCATCATAAACCCTTTTGGAGGGGGTTGTTCCTTCGTTCCCCTTCGAACGGAAAATTGTTGCAGCAAACGTAATTGCATTTACTTTGGAATTTATACTGTGAAAATGTTTTCTTTTTTGTTCCATTTTGCTGAACTTGAAGTCAGGGGTCGAGAGATTTTAGCAGATAGACTATGAGAAAGGCAAGGCTTGTTACCAAGAATTTCTGATTCGAAGTCAATGAACTTGCTGCCAATTTGATTGGTTCTATGTTTATCTATACTAATATTATAAAGAGGTAAAATTTGTTTGTTTGTTTGTTTGTTTGTTTGTTTGTTTGTTTGTTTGCAGGGAATAGGCTCCGGAACTACTGGTCCGATTTAAAAAATTCTTTCACCGATAGAAAGCTATATTATCGCGGAGTTAAATAGGCTATAATTTATTTTGAAAAAAATTAGGGATCCGTAAGAAAATTGCAATATTGTCGCATATAAAGTGAGTTGCTACCTCATCAAACTGACAAACACGCTCCCTTAGCATTTTAACTCAATTTTTGTGTTCACTGTGAAATTGTTAAAAAAAAAAGAATTTTTATTCAATTTAAGTTGAACTGTGAAAATTATGTGGATCGTGCATTTGAGGATAAATTCACCACTCTGTCCATAGTCCGAAATGCTTAGAGGACGACGTGCAAACATTGGCCGCAGACATCCAAGCCAGCAACAAGTATATTCACAAAACTTAAGCGAAGAAAGACAAATGAGCGCATGGAGATCATTGGCATCATTCAATCGCTTGGCATTCCAATATGACCCCACTGCGAACTACAGTGATAATGAAAATTTAGATATTGGACTATATACCGATATTGCAGTGCGTTAAAGTTTAAAAGAGAAACGGCTGGATTGTGCTGCGCAAGTGGAGAAGTCAAACTGGAAAAGTGTTAAATAACCATCTTTCTATACTTCCCCATATATTTGAAAAATGTTGCAGCATTGACTTTTATGTTGTTAAATTGTGTTGGCCAGCGAAGCGGACACAGGCCCTCTAGTATTTAGTAAAACAACAAATGGTTCAAAATTTTTTAAAATAATTTTTACATACCTCAAATTGTTATTTGATATTTAATGAAGTACAATAAACTTTCCTTTGATTTTTGAACAAATTTAAATTAAAATGTTTTTGAACCCATCTGTAATACCTTGCATTTTGAAATCGACATTCGCTCTTGTTCTTTTAACTCGCTAACAATCTGCTAAAGTTCTTCTTTTGCCCTTTTGCCCTATAACCCCAGCAGTTCACCTTCTCTGCTGCTTTCTTTCTACAAAACTCAACTGCAACTTCACCTTCACTTGAAAATTGCATTTTTACGAAAATGTTTGCCTGGGAAATGTTCTATGAGAGGTGCCCAGGGAGCCGAGGTTCTGAGAGGTGTGAGTGTGTTGGGGGGGAAATATGAAAACAAATGGCTCCTGAGTTTCTCTGGCTTTGGCCAAGTAATCGTAAGTTTTGTTTGCTTGGGGATCGCAGTGGGTTTTTCGGGGGCCACGTAGGTCTGCGGACTTGGAATTTATGTTCATTCCTCGTTGTTATTGCTTCTTTTTTGGGCTTTTGATTTTTAGAGGGCCGTAGAAGGGGGCGGTGGGTTCGAACTGGCTGTGGATAGAAGCTCAAAGGCTTAGCATGAAAGTGCAGCAAAAATCATCAAAGAGCTTGCCGCGCGAATCCACTTCCATTATGATTATTCTTGCAAATCGTTGTCAAATTATATGTATGTTAGCATACCAGATAGTGCTGCTCCTATTCCGAATCCGAATCCGCGTTCTCGGCTGTCCGAACATCGCGGAAGTTAAGCCGCTTATCGCTTATCAGCTTTGTCTGCTTTGCGGATAAAAACGGCAGCAGTATTAGGGGAGTACACTGGGGAAAACGAAATAACTACGTATTATTTTTTAAATATTTTTTTAGTCACACATACATATATAAAATATATAATTATTAAAAAAATATTTAAACTATAAAGATTTTCATTTAAAAAATTTCAGTTTTAATTTTGTTGTACAGAAAAGAAAAAAGGCTTTCGATAAATGAATGATTTAAACATTTTTAAGTTCTTAAGTTATTCTCAACACAAATTAGATTTGTGCTACTCGATATTTACCATTTTGTGTTTGTTAGATTCAAAATATTTACAATACTTTTTAGTTATGTCCAATTTTTCCGTTGGCTCGCAGAACAGAGTGGAATGACCTAAAGGGAAAAGTGCAGAGATTAAGGGTCGTGGGGTAACCACTGACAGGGAGATAATAATAGTGAAGTGGAAGGGATGTGTAGGTCCTTGCGCGCTGCAGTGCATACAAGCTGGCTTTGTTCCTTTTTTTCGGGGGGAGCTGACTTGCTAATCTGAATGCATCGTGCGTGGGAAACCTTAATTGATAAGCCGCAGCGCTGCTAAACCAATTTCCAGTGATACCATTTCAGCGCATCAATTCCCAGATTACAGATTTTTGTACATTTTATTTTTACTGAGGTTTTATGGTAATAGTAAAATGAGAAAAATTACTCAAATAATCGGATTTTGTGTACTTTTAAATATTCTTCTCATTCAAAAATTTTGTTTAACAACATAAGTAGTACATTAAAATTACTCTCTTAAATGTTTAAATAATTATTAATGATTTTCCTTGTAAAGTACATTATTGTTTTATATTAATGATCAACCATATAACAAGTTAACGAACCTCTGGTATGAAAACCCAAACGCTAATAGCAGAGAAGTGATAAAACCTTTAAAACAAAAGAGCGCCTGCTGAGAGAAAAGGGCAGTAATAAAACATAGAGGAAACTGCAATTTGGCCCGATTGGCGTCAGAAGCGTGATTTGCAATCATTATTTACCCGAGCAGCGAGCAGCAAACGCAATTCAATCTGTGACAGCCGCACACAAGGATTCCGACAGTTATCCTGCGGGTGAGAGGAGGGAGTTGAGGGTGTTCAGAAAGGGAGTCCTTCGGTGGCTCGATGGCTTGATGGCCCGATGGAAATGAACGAATTGATGTACACGCCACGCTGGCCAAATCCGGAGCAGCAGCATAAGTTCGAGCAGGAGTCGAAGTGCAAAAAAGTGTTAAGTGCTCTCACTGTTTCTTGCAGCAATCATTGTCAGCAAGCAGCCAGAACCGCAATCAGACCGCAACAACCGGAGAGGAACATGCGGCACTGAGGTGTCGTCAGGGATGCCTTGCCCTTTGCCCTTTGAACTGGTTGTTTATGAACGGTTGCTCCCCACATAAAAAGCCGCAAAAATAAAACATTTTTTCTAAAAATTGTACTTTTTATATTGTAGAACTATGGGAACGTACTTATTTACTCACTATATTCCATAACTTTGCCAATTTAAGTCCCATTCCATAGTCACATAACTTTAAATGATTTTAATTGCATTGTTAAAGAAATTGAATTACAAATTTTCTATTTGCTAGTGGTCAATTATTTTACCCCTGTTCAAGTCAGAAATTTTCAAGTTTTCTGGTGGTTTGTCAAAAGAAGACTTACAACTTCAAAAACTACTCGCCGCAACAATGCGAATTTTTGTAAGATTTCGAAGTGGTTTGTGGTGGTAGTCTTAAAAAAACTGCATTTAATTTTTCGTTCCTCGAAGCTGGTTTTTTTTACCGATCATGTACGTCATTCACTCTCATTATTTAAACTTTTTCCAAGTTTTGAAATCGAAATCTCCCTAAAAAGGTGCCAACACTGTTGCAAAGGGTGCGAGATTTATATGCAGCTCTGAGGTTCAATACAGCAAAGTGCAAGAAACAATACAAAAAGAGTTTATGCTCTTGGTTTTTTGTTTTTTTTTTGTAGGTGTGTGTGTGTGCGGGTGTGTGTGTGTAAGTGTGCCGTGGCTCTAAAATCAAATGCAAATGCAAACAACAGTTGGCATCAATCGGAGCTGTCGGAGCACGCCCCGCAGGATTTCCCCCGTGCCGCACCGCCCACTTTTCTGCTGGAATTAATGATGGCAGAGGGTTTGAGGGTTTGAGAGCAGTGCCAGTGGGGTCTTGGTTTTGTGTGTTTTATGTGGAATCAAGTGGAAATTCAATTGATTTGCTTTGGCTTTGGCTTTGGCTTTGCATTCGCCACCACGGGGGGCCTGGCGTGTTATAATAATGGACGGGATATATAGTATGTGCGGCATCAAAGGAAATCGCACCCATTCCTGGCCAAAACGCACTTGAGTGCAAAATCATTTTGCGAGAATTACAGAGCTACAGAACTCCGGCTGCTCCTTTTGCCATTTCTGGAGTTTCTGCCGGTGTCAGCATGTCAAATGCGAGCAACTCTGAAGTTAACTCGGCTGCTCCCTTCGCTTTGTCCAATCAATTGCAAAATTTATTTAATTAAAGGCCAAGCGCATTCGGGGCACTCAACTGGCAGTGATGACTTTTAATGAAGTCGCCGTTGCACAACATTATCTTCATTATTTCCAGGCCCGTATTGCTCATCGGCATTCCTTTTGCTCATCTCTTGCAGGTTTCCATATGTAATCTGGTCCAACTGCATCTGGATTGATTTGATCGACAAGGAGAAGCCCAAGATGGGCGCATCGAAGTCTCTGACGGCCTTTGGGTTGTTCCTGCTCATCGCACACACTCAGGCTCTGAGAGAAAGTAATTATTTTGCCATTTTTAAGGAACAATAATGATAAACTACTGCTTGTTAATATGAGTTGAAACAAGTTAGAAAGGTTATGTGAGGCAGTCGTACAAGGAGCATTTTCAATTCATTTAAGTTGGAGATTATGTACTTAGAACTCTTGTATTCAATATGAAGTAGCATAACCATTTAACATTTGTTGAAGTGCACTGTTGTGGTCATTAATTACCAGGAATGTTATTTTTTAATATAATACTTAAAAAACAAGAAGGGAAGTATTGATAGTTGCTAACTTACTTGAGTTGTAATATTTATCTATTTTGTCTTGGTAAAAATTTAATTTCGTGAGCTGCTATTTTCAATTAGACTAGCCCTTTTTTATTTGAAACCCAATAATATATTTTCTTAATTTGTTTTTTAGATCCTTTAAAGGACCCCCGCATCTGCGGTCGGCCGCAGTGCGAAGTGCCAAATCCGAAGTTCAGTTACGGTGATCAACTGTACAAATATGATTACACGGTGGTTGTGCGCACCGAGTTTGCAGGATCCGGTGACAATAGTTCCGATCTGCTGCTAAATGCCAACTTGGAGATATTTTTCCCCAAAACCTGCGAAGGCTACTTAAGGATAACTGGTGCCAAGTTGTACGACAAAGTGGATGAGAATGGAGCGTCCAGCGATTCCTCCACTGAAAAACCAAAGGACGTGTACGATTACTACGACACTTTGGGCAGTGATGAGTCCGATTCGGAAACCTTGGAAACCCTTCACCCGAAGAGCATGAGTCTGCACGGGGATCTCACCCAGAATGTGTTGCGCTTCTCCTTCCACGATGGTCTCATTAGTGAGGTTTGTCCTCAAGCGCAGGAAACCGCCTGGGTGCTCAACATCAAAAAGGGCATCCTGTCCGCTTTTCAAAACACCATGATGCGATTCGATGTCGACTCGAACACAACCGAAACTGATGTTTCCGGAGAGTGCCAGGTGCAGTATGCTCTGGAGGACACCGACAGTGTTCACGTCAAGATCCGCAAGACGAAGGACATCAACTCCTGCCGGCAGCGCTATGCCACCCACTCGGTTCTGCAGACCACTCCCTACACCTTCCGCGATGACAAGACCATTTGGCCCATTCTCAAATCGCAGAGTTACTGCAACGTGAGTATAATTAAGTGGCTTTTTATTCCCTTTAAAATTTATAATCAGAAAATTAAATGGGTGTGAATTCATTGATTTATTCTGAAAAACTCTTATAAGCTTTTGTTTTATAATTTTATCTAGTTGGATCTTAATTTTATCCTTTTGTAGCTAACCGTTGACAACAATGTTTACCGCGAAATAAGTTGTCTGGAGACTCATCTTTTGGTGCCTTTCTCCAATGCAAGTTCTGGTGCCCTGACCACCAGCCGAAGCCTTTTGAAACTCAGAAATGAGGAGCCTTACAGCGTCGGAGAGTTCTTAGAGCAAAGTAAGTGATTCTAAAATTAAAAAGTAACTATAAAATCGATTGACTATATTATTATGCAGTTTCCGAGTTCGTCGACCGACGAGCCACTTTGGTCTTTGATCACACACCTCCGGTGAAACCTTCGCATGATGAGATTACTGCTGCCCGGGAACTTCTGGTGCAAATGTGCGCAGTTGGCTTCCCGAATATCCAGCGCGAGTTCATCGATGTCTTTACCAACTTTCTGCAGACCGCCAAGAGCCTCAATTACAAGACTTTATCTGTGCTGCTTCAGCGATCTGCCAGCACCTGTGAACAGGGCAAGTGAGTAAAAAATAAAATTAATAAAAAAAAGTAATATATATAACTAAGACAGAAAACCAATTGAAATTAGGAAACAAATTTAGAACCCCGTTACTTGAAGTTTGCTTGTTCTAACTAAAAAGTAATGTCTTCTCTTATGACAGTGATTAAACCGCAACATAATCTTAATCATCTCAGACTAGTTATGCTACGAATAATATTTTTAAAACAAATAATATAAAGAAGCTATCAAATCTGATAAATTTTTTAACGCTACTCCATTAGAAACCACGTTTTGGAATCCCTACCCTACATCGGCAGCTCAGCCGCTTACAAGGTGATGCGGGATCAAATCATCGATGGAAAAGTGAGCAAGGAAAAGGCCCACGACTGGATGACCTCCCTGTCCTTTATCCCACGCCCCGATGAGGAGACCCTGGAAACCTTTCAAACGATTTTGGTTTATGCCAAGAACAGATTGGACCCGGAATACACTTTGGGAGCCACCGCGGTGGTGCACAGCTTCTGCAAACACCACGAGAACTGCGAAGAGAATCTGCGAGTGCAGGAAATCATCAATCTGCTGGAGACCGAGTTCCTCAATTTGTACAACATCTTCAAAGGAGATCGTCGCTCCCGTGAGCGCATGGTGATTCTGCTCAAGGGGTTGGGAAACATTGGAGTGATTTCACCCGCCTTTGCAGAGCAACTTCAGTGGATTATTCGCGATGGTGAATCGCCAGTGGATATTCGTCTTCAGGGTATTTTGGCCTTCCGACGAGTGGATTGTTCAAGATATCGCAGCTTCTTCCTGGAGAGCTATGCCAACTACACTCTGAATTCGGAGCTGCGAATTTACAGCTACCTGCAAGCCATGAGATGTCCCGACTATATATCCGTTGGATCAATAAAATCTGTGCTGGAACACGAGCAAATCAATCAGGTTGGATCCTTTGTTTGGTCGCATCTCACCAACTTGGCCAAATCGAATTCCCCCGTTCGCATCGAAGCCCAAGGACTTTTGCTGAATGATGAACTTTCGGAACGCTTTAAAATGGACATTCGCAAGTTTTCGAGAAACTACGAGCACAGTTTGTTCTTTGATGAATATAATTTCGGAACCACTACAGATGCGAATGTGATTTTCGGCACCGATTCTTATTTGCCACGAATTGCAAGTCTAAACTTTACAGCTGATCTCTTTGGTCAGTCGGTTAACTTCTTTGAGTTTACTGCTCGAGCTGAAGGATTGGAAGAGTTGGCTGCGAATGCCTTTGGACCCAAAGGTCCTTTGAGCGGAGAACTGCTGCGAAAGAAGCTTTCGTTCCTCAATCGCTGGTTGGGCAACGAAAGTGCCGAAGAGGATGACACCCTGGAAAATCTGCTTAGTCTGGACAATCTGCGATTGAAAAGGAAGGCCCAGAAACACGATGCACATGAGCATTTGGACGATGATGACTACGAATATGAGGAGTCCTTGGAGGATCCTAAGAAACACAAGAGGGATGTCAGCACAGCTCGCAAACAGGAAATCGACCGAAACGTGGACAGTCTTGGCTACAAACTGAAGTACGACTACAATAACCCAAGGGCACAGTTTGGCTTCCGGGTTTTCGGCAACGATCTGCAGTACTACAATGTGGAGTCCATGGTGGAGGTGATGGCTTTGGCCGCCAAGTTCAATCCCTTCCAGCAAGCCAAGACTGTGCTCTCCGGCAGGGAGTTCACCTACACGAAATCCAGAGTTTTTCTGGATGCCTCGTATACGGCTCCTTTGGCAGTTGGTCTGCCATTGGCAATACATGCTTTTGGAGCTTCTTCGGTGGATCTACGAATCAGTGGTAATCTCGATCAGATGGAACCACCCACCGACTGGCACTTCGATGTTCAAGGGAGATTCAAACCCTCCGTTTCCGTGGATGTGATCACCACCATGCAGACGGACATGTTCTGGGATCAATCGGGCATCAAGGTGAAGAGCAACCTGTACTCCAACTCGGAACTGGAGGCCAAGCTGAAGGTGCGCGGTCGCAATCTCGTGTCGTTCTCCTTCAATCTTCCCCAGGATCAGAACGAAATCTTCAGCATTCGATCCGAGTTGCTGGTGCAAAAGGGAGAGAAGCAGCTGCCCCAAACGGGAATCGAGAAGAGGAGTGCTAATTCCACCTGCACTTGGCCCGTTCTCGATCAGGCAATTGGATTGCAGATGTGCTCCCACTACAGTGTTCCCGATTTGAGCAACGCCACTGAAATTTACCCGAGTCTCCTGCTGGCAGGACCTCTAAACTTCAGCCTGATCCTTAAGAAATCCGATCTGAGTGCCAAGAAGTACGTGTTCGAGTACAAGTGGGATCAACAGGAAGTGGACAACAACTTCTCGCTGGTGTTTACTACTCCGGGATCGAAGGTTCCGCGAGTTTTGGTTGCAAATGTGACAAAGGTAACCGATGCCTTCAATGCCTCCGTGGCTTTTGTGAATGGACCCAACCGGGTATCCGCTGGATGCAGCTACGATGGAAATCCTGACTTCCAACGATTGGATGTTTACCTCGATACGAATGGAAATCGATCATTGGATTTGGGAATGGAGTTGCGAAGGCACCAGGACTTCACCGCCTGGATCTACAATCCCCGAATGCTGCTGGCCATTAATGGAGTCAATATCACCGGTCTGGCGGGAACTGTGAAAGTTAACGAAAAGAACGGAATAAAGCAACACGATGTGGATCTGTCCTTTGAGACCAAAAAGCTGCAGGCTGTGATCAAGGGAAATATCGTCCAAAGCGAGATAACCACATCCACCAACATGACCGTCAAATATAGGGTGAGTATCAATAGAAATGAATTTTTATTACAAAACTTTTGAGATCATTTTCAAATACGAAAGAAAAATAGGAACTCTCATTTGTGAACACTAAACACATAAATGAATTAGATTCATTTGTTTACATTACCATAAATGTTACTCATGTTTCAAATTACTTAATTATATCCATTTTCTTTATTAGTTCCAAGCAAACAAGATTGAGGAGATTAACTTTGCCGGCAAGCTGGTGAACAATGGCGACAAAACTAAGACTGAGTACCGAGGCAACATGAAACTGCAGACCTCGGCTTATCCCAAACTAAACTTTGCATCGGATGTTACTTGGCTCAGTCTGCAGGGCCACACTGAAGGCATGATCACCTACAACAATGCACCGGATTATATTAATCCCAACTATACGAGTCTGCTTCGATTGGTCTTTGCTCGTTCAAATTCAGAGGATTCCATTCTGGAGGGATCAAGAACGCGGGCCAGTTTGGAACTGAAGCTTCCCAGATCGAAGATTGACTACCGCATTTCGGTTAAGTAAGTTTCATTATACTTGTTGATATATATTTGTATACCCTTGCAGAAGTAAAAAGTTTGCTACGCATTGCAAAGCCATTACTTCGATGATGTCTAGGCATTATGCATTCTGCTCTACATTTTAAATGACTGCAAGGGTATAGCTTTCTTTCTTGTTTTTATTAATAAATCAAATTTTATTTTTAAGGCACGAAGAACGCAGCAAGAATGGCACCGAACACAATGTGATCGTGGGTTTGAAGTACGCTCCTGAAAAAGAGGTCACTGGTCTGTTTTCCGTACATTTGCCCAGACGGAGTCTGTTTGCCATTGATGCCTACATGAATGTGACTGTACCGGAATTCAATTCATGTACGGCAATCCTGAAGGTCAACGAAAAAAGCCACCAAGGACTACATCGTAAGATTTATTTCAAATCAACATTACAAGTATGTTTTATGTGATTTAAGTTATTGCCTTCATCATTTTTAGATCTTTATTAATGGTTCCTGGTTCACTGGACACTCTGTGGCCATCAAGGCCAACTACAAGGACCGCAGCTCGCGAGTTCAGGCCCTCCATCACCTCAAGATGATTGTGGAGAGTCCTTCCTTCGAAGCGACCTCTCTTAACATTGTGTACCGCCGCAACCAGCTGGTGATCTTCTACGATCTGCAGGCCAAGTACGGCAAGGATCCCTATGGCCTAACAATCCAGTATGCAGCCAATGCCCATAATCGCAACTCGAATGCGGAAATTCGATTGAAGGTCAAGGAACGTGACTACTGGATTAATGCGAAGCTTTTGTCAGAGCAACCTAAGTTACTGCAGCTGGAAATTCACTTGGATAAGTAAGATTCTAACACAGTAAATAAACTTTTCAGAGTACTTATTGATACTGTAAACTCTTAGATTACGTGATGTGCACATCAAAGTTGGTCTGCTGAATGTGAACAAGCGCAAGGAGCTCTCGCTGGAACTGAAGTGGGATGCCAACCGAGATCCCAGCCAGAGATTGGGTCTATTGGCTGAATACAACTCCCCTGGAACGAAGCACTATGATGGAAATGTGATGATCACCTATCCGGAGAGAACCTTCAACTTTGGCTTTAATGCTTTTACGGGAGGACCCAAGTACTTCGGCAAGGTTCATGCCTCTTGGAGCATCAATGATGTGATTGAGTTCGAGTACGAGGCGGGTGTTCTTCCCGGGCAAACCATCCACAATTGGGTGAAGGCCGAGTTGAGAACTCCCTTCGAAAACTGGCGTACCAACAGCCTTGATGCCGGCATCTACAACCTCCACAATCTTATCCTGGTGAACTCCACGCTCTTCTGGGCAAACGACCAGAAGTTGCAGGTGGGCTACAAGAGCGATTACCTCATCAACGACCAACTGGTGAGCTTCGATGTGCGATTCGGCATCAACAGCACAATCCAGGACATTCCCACGATCAATGTGAAGGTGGTGCATCGGCAGGATGTGCGGGAAGTGGATACGGAGCTCTATCTGGGATACAGTGGTCAAAACGAGACTTATAAGGCCTACAGCATTGACTCCAGATGGGAGATCAATCGCAACCAGCGCTACTCGAATGTTTCTGGTTTGGTACATTTGGTGAGTCCTTTCAAGGGTTACGAAAAAGGTGGCTTGGTGGCCCACTATTCGCTTTTGGATCAGCGAACGATCAGTGGAGCGGCTGCCCTCAACTTTGACGTAAGGGAGTTCACCTTGACCATGGATGGATATGTAAAGAAGTTCACCGATAATATGCTGACCATTAATATCACCACTCCCCTGGAGAAATTCCGTACGATCAACGCTCGATTTGGGTTGAATGAGAAGAAACGTCATGCGGTTGCGGAGGTTAGGGCTCCCACAGCAGCTCTTGGAGTGGAAGCCTTGGCAGATATCAAGAACCTCCTGAACTTCGATCTCAAGCTCAGCATAGCCACACCCATTGAGAGCTTCCAACAGGCGGCGGTGTTCGCTCTTTTCAATCCGGAACGCGTTGACATGCGGGGATTGTGGAACAACGCTACCCTTGGATTTACCGGAGTGTGGCATATGGCAAATGCCACGGACTTCGAGTACTCCTACCTGGTATTCACACCACTGGCTGGCTTCGAGGAGAACGGTTTCATTGTCCAGCTGCTGAAGAGGGATGAGTTCGTCTTCCAACTGCATGGCAAGTTGTCCCACTACAAGTTGGGTGTGAAGATCAAGGGGAAACCAAAGTCTGCCTTGGTCAAGGAGCTGGGCAGCAACAAGATGGCCTTGGAGATGCTCTACGATGCGGACTTCCAGCCAACAAATGCCGATTTGGACTACAAACCCGATCCCGATGTGGAGTACTTTTCTTATTTCACGGACTTCCAGGTGGACACTCTCGTTTGGCCCACCATTGTTGGTAATGTGGACATTCAGGAGATTGTTGACTTCTACTTGGTTGTGGGTCAAGTGGAGTTGCCTCAGGGCAACGTCGAGTTCAAGGATCGCCTCCACTATCCGGACTACATTAATATACACAATTTGCTGACCATCACCACACCATTTGCCGTGGCCAAGGACATTAAGTCAATAGTGGAGTACCACGTCGACTTGCACTTCAATTCCTTCTACGAGCGTGTCAAGTTTGCAGTCAAGGATGCTAAGGATCAGGTTAAGGAGCTGGGTTTTGAGTTCAACTACACCAAGCTCCAGGACAATGTGAAGCCCAAGGCGCACGATGTCCAGCTCAAGTTGATCACACCCTACGAACTGCTCAACGAGATTGACATCCATGGACGTCTGGAGGTGGATGAAAATGCCTACAAGGGCAACATCAGCTCAACCACAGCCCACACTCGACTCTCGATGGCCGCCTCCGTGGAGGTTTGTACTTAAAATAAGATATACAAATTGAAATCTAACATTTGTTCTTATTTAGAACGAGGACAACTTCTTAGAAACCGCAGTGGGCATTCTGTTGGAGACCGATGTCATTCCCCACTATGCCTGCCAGGTTTACTTTAAGAAAGACTTTTCAGCCGTTGACAACTCCATTGACATTCGCTTTGAGGTCACCGACAATGGAACACTTAACCAGGTGAGCTCAAAATAATACTTCTTAAATGGAATTTAAAACTGGTTTTCCAAACAGATCCACATTTCGACAGACTGGCACACGCATTCCTCCTACATCGTAAATGCCAACGGAAGGATCCGAACCACAATGCTGCCACTCCAGCAGGCTTCGTCTTCGGTTCTGGTCACCAAGGGTCAGAATCCCCAGCTGAACTTCGATCTTAACTTCCTGAGCCAGGATGGCCAGAGCATTTCCTACGGAACGCGTGCCAACAAAAAGAAGGAGGTGTTCAACATCGAAGTGTGGACTCCGCTGAAGAACTTCCGAAACATTTCCATGCACGGAACCTTCGTTAAAAATCCTCGCGATGCTGAGCGCTACGATGTGTCAGGATTCCTGTACAGAAACATGGCCACTTATGGTGTCACAGGAGCTGTTCGCATGGCCAATACCCTGCCCATCGATGTCACTCTGAGGGTTCAACCCAAAGCTGGCGGCAGAGACGGTGTGATTGAGTTGAATATCAATGAGGCTGGCCCGAAAAAGATTCGCTTCTCGTTTAGCGCCATTGAAAATGGCAAGATGTGCCAGATTTCAGGAGGTTACAGTGTCGCCGAAAGCAACGGAGCAATGGACTTCTCAGTTTTGGTTGAGAGCACCGAGCCGGACATTGCCCGCATTAACTTCTACGGAAGTTTGAATCCCAGCTCGAGGGGTTCCCTAGTGGGTGACCTCAACTTGGAGACCCCCTGGAAGTCGCTCGGCATCGATTCGGTGCACCTGCACTCGGATGTGGGAATTCGCAGCGATGGCGGCGATATAAAGGGCGAGTACAAGATCGGTCAGTACATCGGACGCGGTAGTTGCCTATGGTCATGGATCCTGGGGGAGAATCTGCAGCTGGTGCTGGAGAGCTACCTGGAGAGACCGAATAGCCGGCCGAGAATCGTTCACGCCAGTGCCAAGTACTTGAATCCCGGAAAGACATACTCCCAACTGCAGGCTGGAGGTCGCCTGAGTGTTGATTCCAAGTGGAACCTCGATGTGAATGGCAGTGCGCACTACACGTCTGTGGATGATTTCAACTTTAAGGTCATCACCGAGTTGCCTTTACCGGTTGGCGATCGCCATCAGTTGAGTGGTAGTTACCAGGGCAACGTGATCTCAAAGCAGTTCATCGATCCCGATTTTGTGATTGAGGCCAGCTACGAGGGTTTGGAGGCCCAGAACAAGTTGCTCTCACGACTTTCCTACCGCAATGTCACCAATAATCTGAAGGGAGTGGGTCACGTGGAGTGGGGAAAACTAAACAGTCTGTCCACCGTCGAGGGAGACTTCGAGTTGCTCCAGAAGGCGGGAGCTCGTCGCGAGTTCTCTGCGAAGATGATCACCCCGAAGTTCAAGGATGAGCACACTTTTGCTCTAACAGGACAGTATGACAAGAAGAACGCCGACTACCACAACGTGGTGTGTGCCCTGAACTACCCATCGAGTCGCCGAATCACCGATTTGGATGTATCTTTCAACACGCTGAGCAACATGCACGGAAACTTCAACAGCACAATGCCCTCGTTCCTCAACGTCAGTTGGTTCAAGACCGACTTCGAGTTCACCACCAAAAAGTGAGTTTTTACTTCATTGATTATTTTGATTAATTTCAATATAAGTGTTATTGAAGAAAGGGTTATCAAATAATAAATTAAAACAAGAAACGTTACTTCAATGCAGTTATTTTATTCCATTAAATTGCATAAGATTATATTTTACAAATTAAAAAGCATTTCATTTATCCTTTACTTATACCAACTAATGGTTATATTATCTACCTTTCAGTGCAAAGAGTTATCGCTACTGTCGCTGCTTCTGGCCGCAGGACTCTGCCTACTTCAAGTTGAACAACAACTACGACAGCAGCAGCAACAACGCCGATCACAACGTCAATGGCAACATAGAGATAGAAGTTCCCTTGGCCACTCGCCATCGGGCGGACATCGTTTATGGCCTGCAAAAGCGACGCAGCCAGGATTCAGGAAGTGTCAAGGTCGTTTACAACGAGAAGCAGGTCCTTGACGGCAAGTACAAGCGGTTGGAGCAACAAAAGCATCCCATCTCCAAGGAGACCACGGATATCTCACTGGAGAACGATGTGAAACCATTGGGCATTCACTATGTCAGCACCCGGGATGCCAGCGATCCTGAAGGATCCCAGGATGTGAAGCATTTGGAGGTTTATGAGCTGAGGAATACGCGAAACTTTAATCTTACCGGTGAACTGCATACTCGGGCCACTCTGAAGGCTCAGGACTTTAAGGTCGTGGCTATTCATCCCAATCGAGCTGTGGTTCTGACCACCAAATTCGAGGATGTTAGTCCTGAAGTTATCAGGCAGCACACAAAGTTGGAGTTATCGGAGACCGCTTGGATAGGATACAACCTGGAACTGGGCAACTTCAGCAAGGTTAACAATGATTCGCAGAGCTTCGCCCTGGAAATCTTCTACCCCAAGCGCAATCTATCCACATCGGGTCAGTACTTCATGACGGACACGCACTTCAACTCCGACCTTTCCTTCGAATGGAAGGGCAACTACGACCTTCAGCCCAAGGTTATCCATAGTAATTTGCAATGGACGGCGGAACCTTTGCGTCGTGGAGATCGGGAACACCGCACAATTTCCCTGACAGTTGCACATCCTCTTCTAGAAAAAGACATTAGTTGCAAAGCGACTTACTACCGCGGATTGCAGGATCTCCTTAGATCCCACCTGACCATTGAATACACCGACAATCCAGAGCAACTCATTGAGTTGGGTGCTTATTTGAGGGATCGTTTCAGTGAACTGGGACACACGAACTACACCTTCCAGTTGTACGGCAGACATCCCGCTTCCGAGTTGGATGTCCAGTTGAATGGCACACTGGCAGCAAGGAACTCCTACTACAAGACGGAATCCACTGCTCACTACAAGAGAGATTTGTTCCCCGCGAGATATGGCAAATTCCTGGCTTTACTCGATGTGAATAAAAGGGAAGTGGAATACGAACGCGTATCGCCTTTCCACACAGTGCGATTACACCTGCTGCCCACTTTGCAATATCCCATTTACGGTCTGAATGCCACAATCTGGGATACTCCAGATACAAATCACTCGGGTTATGTTTATGTGGACTTACTGGAACGTTATGCTCGAGCGGATTTCAATTTGACGGAGGATGCCAGTCAGAATCTGCAGATGGTGGGCTACATTCCTGATACACGAAGTGCCTTCCTGGATATTTGGAGAAACTACGAGGAGATCCGTGTCATCGATGTTAGTTCTTACTTGAAGATGAATCACTCTCGTTTGATTACCGGCCGATTCCATTGGCGACCACCAATCCGTCAAGAAGTTCGGGAGAAAATCCAATCCCTGGGCAAATCGGTTTACAGCTCCTTCTCCGAAGGCATCGACTTTTGGATTAAGAACATCTACACGGAAACCACCGAGTCATTGGGCGTTGTTTGGACTACAGCTAAGGAGTATAACAAGGACTTTATCGACGACATTGGCAGGTTGAATGTTTTGGAGGAGGATCTCGCCGATCTGCGATTGTTCGTGAACCAATCCTATGAAGCCAACGATTTCTATATCAAGAACGTGGTTAACTTCACGCTGACCATTCTGGATGAGTTGGCCATTAGAGATCACATTGAATCGCTGCCCATGATCTTCTCGGAATTGTGGCAAGCGATGGGAGATTCAGGAAAAGCGCTGCGAAACAGTGTTGTGTGGTTAATCGAAACCATTAAAACCACGTATAACAATCTATTGGATGCAGTAGCTCGATTCTTCCATGGCGAGAGTCTTACCTATTTATCTGGACTTTTAGAGAAGGGTATTACCAAGTATGACAGCTTCATCAAGGAATTGCATATCAAGTTCATTAAATACATTGAAAACCTGTGGCACAAAACGTGGAACCTGGCGGAGAATCACTGGAAGGCAGTCCTTAAACGCTTTGAACCACATCTCTTCAAGATGATCAGCTTTATAGAGACGACTGCCTGGAATCTCAGCAAGGAGGTGTTCGATTTTATATACAAACGCACCAATGAACTGGCGGAATCTCCGTATTTCAACAAGGTTTCCAGTTTTACTGCTGATGCAGAGCGACTTTACCGGGACTTTATGGCCAACGATGCCATTACCAACATCAAGAAGTATACAACTTTGGCCTGGAACTTCGTCAAGGAGAAGTACTTCAAGTTGGTGCCCTTCGGTGCCGAATTGAATGAAGTTCTCACCGAAATCTGGCAGGAAATCAAGGAGCTGGAGAAAATCGAACAAGTGCAGATCATGGTTCAGAAATACTACGAAGTTGTGGCCAAAATTGATTGGGTTGCCGATGAATTCCAGCTGGAGCATCGCCTTCATCAGGTTTATGGTTTGGTGAGGAATAAGTTCCGCAATTATGCGTTGAATGCCTTGGAAACCGCGGATATGTACAGGGAAGCCAAGACCAAGTTTGTTTTCGATCCGGAAGTGGGCATTATCGATCTGGAGCAAAAGTTACCCATGTCCTGGCATGCTTTCAATGAAACACCCAAGTTCGAGGAGATTCCCGAGTACCAGGTTCTGGCCAAGGTCCAAAGTTTCTTCAGCGAAACCAATTCCTCGATCGTCATGAAGCTGTACAATATGAGGACGCATCTGGATCCCAAGACTTGGCTGCCGCCTTACTACTGTGAGTTTTTATATTCTGTGAAACAATTTTATTCGTTTATTTGTATCATATATTATATATTTCTTTTTATATTTTCTTAATTTATAAATTTGATTTAATTTATTTCCATTTAAGCTCGCGCCTTGCTTATCGACTCGCGTCATTATATGACCTTTGATCAGCGTTATGTAGGTCTGAATCTTAACTTTGACGAGTTTGGAAATGGACGACCCTATTCACAATGCAGTTACTTATTAGCACATGATTTCTTCAAGCGAAACTTTACCTTGCTTCTGGAGCCAGCAGTGAGTAAACCAAATAAATCAAATATAATAAAATATATAACTTAACACTTAATGTATTATTAAAAGAGCAAATCCCTGGCTGGCCAAGGACTAACACGCAAACTGAGCTTCATTGCCAACGAACAATTGATTGAAATTGATTTGGGAACAGATGTAAGTCATACTATAAATATAATATATTTCATTAAGAAATTTTATTTTATTTTATATTATTTTTTTTTCCATCCCAGCACATAACCATCAATGGCAATCCGCAACCCATTTTGCCACTCAAATTGGGCGCTGTGAATATCCACCGAGATCTGGATGTTCTTTCGATTCATTCGGACACCGAGTTCAGTTTGCACTGCAATGTGCAATTCGATCTGTGTTGGTTTGAAGTGAGTGGTTGGTACTTTGCCAGAACAGCAGGATTACTGGGAACTCTTAACAACGAACCATACGATGAGTACACCATGTCGAACAGTGTGATCTCCAATGAAACTCAGCAATTCACGGATTCGTGGAGCCTGAAACAATGCAAGCAAACTAAGTTGGCTCAAAAGCAAGAGATTTCAAAGGAGGTTGCTGAAACCTGCAGCAGTTTCTTCCGCGGGGGAATTTTGGCCACTTGTAGTGCTGTAATCGATCCCAATCCCTTCTACGAAATGTGTTTGGATTTGGGTATGAAATCGCCGCCAATCCGAAAGGGACATCCTGCAGTTAAAGGAGCTTGTGCCGCAGCTTTGGCTTATATTGAAGCTTGTACAGCTCTAAAGGTTCCCATGCGGGTTCCCTCTCAGTGTGTTTTGTAAGTTATTTAATCTTGTACTTATTTCAAGTTATAAATTTATACCCCTTTCAGCTGCCAATTGACCAACGGTTCATATGTTCCCGAGGGCACTTTCATGGAATTATCAGGCAGCGAAGTTCCGCGCAGCAGCGATGTGGTTTTCATTGTGGAAGCCAAGGAATGTAATGCCAATCTAAAGGAGTCCAAGAGCATTATGACCGTGGTCAGCAGCATTGAAGAGCAGCTGCAGGCCGCCAAACTAACAAACAATCGGTGGGTTTGCCTTTTAAATAAATTATTTGATTAAAACATAATAAAATTTAATTTTTAATATCATAGTTATGCCGTGGTGGCCTTTGGCGGAGTGGCTCCCTACGACAAGGCGAGAAGTGTGATTTATGAGCACAACGAGTTCACCTCGAGACCGGAACAACTTGTGGACTATTTTGGCCACATCAACACCGGAAATGGCAGCAGCAACGACATCCTGATGGCCATTTCCGCCGCTGCCAAGCTGAACTTCCGGCCGGGAGTTTCAAAGACCTTCATCCTGCTCTCCTGCAGCAAATGTGCGGCAAGGGATATGCGCTTCGATTACACCTCCATCCTGCAATATATGCTGGAGGAGGGCATCAACCTGCACATCCTGGCGGATACGGAATTCGATTTCGAGCGCAACAAGAAGCTGCGACACTTCTTTGGATTGGACAGCAAGCTGGTTTACTCGAAGCGCTTCCCCGAAGGAGATGCCGAGACCCGGAATACAACGCACATCTCGAAGAGCAACTTGGGCATCTGCACAACGCTCGCTGTGGAGACGCAGGGATCGGTGTTCAGTGCCCGCAAATTGCAGCCGGAGCGGAAGTATCCCATCAAGCGGTTCGCCACCATTTTCGCCAAGCGAGTCGCCCAAAGTGCCACGCCCATCCAGAGCCAGACCTGCGAGTGCTCCGCCCACAACACGGGCGTCTCCTACATGGCCTGCTCGCCACAGGCGCTGCCGGAGGAGAAGTACGATCTGGAGGACTATGTAAGTATAAATAAGTATAAATGATATATGGAGTTTGACTTTGATTCGAGTTTCTGAAAAAAGAGCTTATGAAATTATAGTTCAGAAGTAAACTTAAAAACTAAAATAAGCAGTTTATTATAGAAGATTTTTGTAACTTTGACCCGTAACTAAAGTCTTGGAATTATTAATGTCATTTTTATGAGCAGAGCTTTAAAAGTTTCATTGAATTTAAAAAAAAAATTTAACACACTTTAATAAATATTCTCCTATTTCTGATCTTTACGAAATGGATTTTATACTGCATTTTAATTATGTGGATCTCTACTTACTAAATTTATATTTATTGTTAGCTTTATACAGCCTAGAAAATATTGTTGTCAGAAATTCCCTAATGCTCATTGATAAAATTGTTCAAGCGGGCATTCGATTTTATGGCTTTTAAATACCATTTCTGATGAACAATGTATACACTACATTTTAAGATTACTAATTGATTTCTTATGTTTTGTTTTTCAGGACTCCTTTAACAACTGGGATTGGGGAGACGAACCGGAGGGCGATCCGAAAATAACTTCGTAGTTCTTAGTGCGCCGCAAATAGTTAGCTAGTTCAGTTATGTCCCTGCAGAATATAAGGTTTTTCTAATGCATAACCGAATGGCATGTTTTGTAAAAATAAATCAACATATAAACTGAAAACCGAAAAGAGGTGCCGCATTTTGTGTCATGATTTTCAATCTAAAGTCGCAGATCGAAGTTAACGAGGGACACGCCCGACCAGTTTTCAGCTTCCTATTCATTGTTTGCCTCAATCTCGGCCGCTGATTAAAAGTTGCCCGACCGCCTGGAGCCGCGTGTTGCCGCTTGTTGCATGTTGCATGTTGCCGGTTGCTGTCTGCTGGTTGCTAGTTGCTGGTTGCAAGTGGCTGCATTTGGGTGACTATCACTTTTTGCCAGCTGCAACGAAACCACGGCCACGGTTGACGGAAACGACCGCAGAACTCAAGTACGTGTAACAACCTTAACCCTAAAGCCAACGACTTTGGGAATGGACCATGTCCGCTCACTCGAACCACTTGATACCCAGTTGAACCCAATTTGTTGATATAACATTTCCCCGTGGAAAAGCGCACAATGGAAATTATGCGAGCCGAGCGGTAATGCAATACTTTCTATTTCAATGCTATGGTTACATCAACTCGACTCGACTGGCCCAAGTCCTAAACCCAATTGCGAATCTTTCACTTTTGGGCCGGCTATAAAAAGCATCGGACAGATGGCAACCATTCGCATTACTGCAGTGAGATTCGGCCTGGAAGCCACGACCATTGACAAGATGTGGAGATTTGTAAGTCCAGCGAAAGAGGAAGGGAATTCTTTTAGCCTGAAGATCGATTTGGAATTCCTTCTTAGATCTTAATTTGCTTTTTCCAACTGATTTGCGCCTCGGAGCACAGTGGCGAAGGATACAGTGGATACGGGGGAAGCGGCGGAGGATCGGGTTCCAGCGGCGGAGGAGCCGATGGCCACTACCATCACCACACACCCACCACCTACTCGGAGATCTCCAAACACGTGCCAGTTCACGTGATCGAGAAGGTTCCCCTGCCCATTCCACATCCCGTGGCCGTTCAGGTGCCCAATGTCATCCGGCTGCAGATCCCGGAACCCTATGCGGTTCACGTCCCCGTCCAGCAGGAAATCCAAGTGCCAATCTACAAAATAGTGCCCGAGATAACGGAGAAGAAGATCCCGTACACCGTGGAGAAGCCATATCCCGTGGAGGTGGAGAAACCGTATCCCGTCGAGGTGATCAAGCAGATCAAGATTCCGGTGCCGAAGCCCTATCCCGTTCCTATTACCATCTACAAGCACGTCCTGCAGAAGGAGCACGGCTGGTAATTGCAGTAGTCCTTGGATATTAGGTGTGTAAGTTTAAGGTTGCCAGCTCAAGATCTGAGAGTATTATCTTACAGAGTTAATGAGTAATTAAATATTGAGGTTAAGACAAAACACTGGCTTTTTATTTGGGTTCTTTCAGAGAATTATCTTCGGATTATTTTTAAGAAAGCGAAGCTCCTGCACAAAAATGAATATATAATTTAATAAAAACATTTAATTTTTTCTGTTCGAAAATTTGATTTATTTATTTATCAATTTTTAGTAGCGCTTAAAATGTTTATAAAGAATATTAACCATTTCAGTTTGGAAATTCAGTTAATGTTTATTAAAATTATAGCAACCCTAAAATAATATTGGAACTTTTAGATATTATTTTATGGATAAAGGTTTCGACTTTTGCTGAGTTCCTTTCCAAAGCTCATATTGTTCTAGACAAGAAAGGAAGAGTAGGAAATGCGTTAAACGTCAATTACATGAAGGCTCTACATTTTCCGAAAGCTTTTCGAACTTTCACCTGCCAAAGCTCAATTTAGTGAGCAGAGCTTTTTTCCAAGCAGTCCTTGTTTTTTTGTAACGGGGCCAAAGTGCGTATACACAATCGCACCAACACAGTCGCACCACTCACATAGATACCTCGCAGGTTCGTTAAACTTTTGCGAATTGATTGACGCGGTGTGGGAAAATGTGTGGGGCAGGTTTTCCTCAAACCGATGCAGTGGCGGATCCACGGGGGGAAATTAGGGAAATTTCCCTTGGAACCAGAGAACCTGAAAATTTTACTTGTTTGCTATGGTTGACTTTTCAAATATAACCACTTTGTTTACCAAAAAATTGGGATGGATAATTTTTGTTTTATAATTTGTACTGTATTTCTCTCGCAATAATAAGTTTGAACCCCAAATCGAAGAATAAGTTCAATTTCCCCCAAGAATCGTCTCTGGATCCGCCACTGAACCGATGACGTGCGCACACTCCACACACCCCCACCCCCTTTTGGCGCCCGGTCAGGTGTTGCTGGGCATTATATCGTATATCCTGTATGTCCTTGAAGGAGACAAACCGTGGACGTGCGGGAAATTTTTCCGCGATTGTCAATGATTTCCATTTGTTGCACGCTCTCTCTAGTAAAGTCATTCCCGCCCCTTAATTCTTGACAGTCCGTGAGTGAGTCAGTCAGTCAGTCAGTCAGTCAGGCATTCAGTCAGTCAGTCAGGCATTCAGTCAGTCGCTCGTTCAGTCAATCAAGCGCAGCTGCCGCAAATTATTTATGCACAACTTGTAGCGCCACACGCAAAATGTATCCAAAGGATGTGGCTGCGACTCCCTCACATCGCATTTATATGTGCGCACAATGTGTTTGCCTACGTGTCGGGAACTTTAATTTCATTCACATCCAAGCACATCCACACCAACGGAGACACACATCCTGAAATAGTTTATCCATTTGTTCTTCAAATCTTTGCTTCTCGGCTTTATATTTTTTGAACTTCTGCAGACTTTTGTCTCGGCGAAAGCGCAGAGTGAATGAAATTTAATAGAAATTTCTCGAACGCTTGCATACATTATTCTAGGTGGAAATCGGAAAAAGTTTTTTCGTAATTAAATGCTGGCACTCCCAGGAAAAGCTTTGTTCGCATTCATTTTGTGTGGGGTTGCCTTTTAATTAATTATGAAAATTTTCAAAATGATTGTGGCTGCAGTTGAACCTTTGGTTTTAATGGCCCAAATGCAATTGTTGATTTATGCTCTTTGTTCGCCGTTGCTCCATTCATCAATTCATTTGGAAAATTTGGTAATTGCACTGGCTGATGAAACGATAATTGACATTTCCCGTGTGTTTGCCGTCGTGGTTTCAAATGGCCATTTGGCCAGGCCGAAACACAAATGCGCATATCGCAGTTGACAAGCCTCGGGTTTTGGGTAATTACTGTTTGCATATCCTCTGATGGGTTTGTTTGTCCTCCTGGATTAGGGGAAAATTTTGTGTCTCTCGGTGGGGTGATTAAAATTACAGGTGTCTCTATCGGCGAGTTAACTTTTTAATCGATGCATTACTATACCTCTAATTAGATCACGTTTTAATGAGTAAATTTCGTTAGATAATAGGATATTATACTATATCTATCGTTATGGAAAATTGTTTGTTTATCGAATTTTCCTTAATATTGAATTCAATGCTGTTTAATCTGAACTGCCTCATGGTTAAATCACTTTGTATAAGAGGAACTACTGGAAACAATTACTTCCAAATAATAAACATACACAATAAATGCTAGCCAGTGGCATTTACAAATAATATTGATTGGAATGGAAGGCCTACAACAGGGAAGTAAACAATAAACTTAACTTGTTGCCCTTTCAAATAAGGATAGTACAATTTATTGAAAATCAATAGCACACGCACGAGTTTCTCTATCAATAATTACTGAGCCACAGCCTTGGGAGGCCCATTACTTGGCCACATTTGATTCCGCCTCCCCAACGATTACCACCTTCTTAGGCCACATGTGGCAATTGAATCTATGTGGCCTAAGCCCCGGCATAATATGCGAAAGCCAGGCCCCAATTGCACGGGCAGCTCCCCCCTTCCACCCTCCCCCTCGTCTATCCGATCGATTGGCGCATAAAATGCAAATTAAATTGTCGGAACATTTGGTATTACAGCAGCCAAAGCTCTCAGCCAATGAGCTTAGCCAAAGTCTGGCAAACAAATTTACAATGCTAAGCTCATGTGAGCAGTGGAAATGCGAGATGAGGTGATCCACGGGGGGCGGGGGGCGGTGGGCGGGAAAACTCGTACACACAGATGTGCCGGGAATTCGGAGCACTCGTCGGCAAAAAGGGGAAAACTTTTGGATTCGTGGAATTAATTTAAGTTAATTGATTTTTCTGCCAGAAGCTTTGCACGTGCAAGACTTTTCCGCACTCCAACCGACAGACAGACAATCAGACGTTTAATCGAAGAGGAAAAACGGAAACTGAGAAGGGGAGGGGGTGGAAAATAAAATGAGGGCGGAAATTGACAACTGCCTCGAGTGTTGAGTTGTAAGGAAAATACATTTCCATTCCCCATTCATATTATCGCCCAGCTTTCCATTGAGACATCCAATACATATGACAGGTAGACATGGCACCCGAATGGACTTCGAGAAGCGACCCTATTTCCCATTTTCCATTTTCCATTTTCCAGCTGCCACATCCGACATAAAAATAGATATATAAATAGCCCTGCGTTCGTTGGCTAAAACGAGCTTCTAAAAAATTACTAACGCCGAATTAATCAATTGCCCAACGACTCGCGTTGCCTTCATATTGTTATTTTTAAGCATTTCAAAGGCTGCACTCGGAGAAAAACAGAGTCGGCTGCTTTCCCTGGAACCAACTGCTTTTCCTGCCTAATGAGCTGTAAAGTGGTGAGGATGCATGAGGTCCTTTGATGGGGAGGTGTGGCAAATCCCTCCGGCGGATTTATTGATTTATTTGCCAATGTATCAGTCCGATCCGCATTAATTGTCCCCGTTCTCATTTCCACATTTAAACTCTGTCCCTAATGAGCTTATGTTATTATTAGTTTTTTAGTTTCCTCAATAGAAAATCCTTTAAGTCTTGGATATTCAGGGAAAACAAACATTATTTGAAAGCCCATTTCCTTAGGCGCTAAAAATAGCCCTTACTGTAGGCACTTTTCCCCCTGCAGAGTCAGCAATAAACATTAAAAATTGTATAAAAATATGAATCAATGGCGAATCACAAAGCCAAAGCCAATTTCTCATTCCATTTTTTGTGGATAAATCCCCTGCAGAAAGTGAGATTGAATGGTGAAGTGGGGCCAACACTAAAGTCATAAAAGTCGCGTGGACCAAATTAGGAGGAACTCTCTGCTGTTTGTGAAGGAAAGCAAAAGGAAGGAATGCTCCTGGCTCCCATCGAACCCTCCCCTCCCCCTCTCCTCTCCTGATCCTCCTGGTATTTTATGTGCACAACAATTTTAAATGACTTTGAGGAGGCGACCCAGGACACACTCACAAGCGGACAGATACAGATACATACAGACAAACAGGAGCAGCCGAAAGTAACAGATAAGATTAGACGCCCAAGCCAGTGACAACAGGCGTCGTCAAGATGGCGCTACACGCCCACATTGCGTATGCGCGTTCATCCACACTGAGAGAAAATACAGTTCACAATTAATCGGAACTATGAAGAACCTTAAAAGTGCTTAAAAAGCTAATTTTGATTAAATTGTAAAGCATTGATAAAAAGTGTGACATGGAAAACCAAGAAATACTAAATAGTTTTAAATATTTAACCTTTGACCTTTGAACTGATTTTTATTTTTAATTTAAGTAATACATTTTTTGCGCAAACAAAAGAAAGTAAGACCGAGTTTTTTGACATTTTAAGTATTCTTAATATCGCAAAACAACAAATAAAGAAACAGATTTTGATAAGTAAGAAATTTATAAGAAATAATTCATGATAGAAATAATTTTTTAAAAGATGAAACTGTAAAAAATGAATAATTTATCTTTTAGAATTAAAAAAAAAATTTTAAGCAATACAAAAGTAATACCGTTAATAATTGAAATTAATGTATAAGTCAACTTGTAACAAAATATTTCTCTCAGTGCCACCCGTAAGCGAGTCAAGGTTAAGCTCCAAAATCGCTCGAAACGAAACGAACCTCAGCCATCAAAGGCAGCAATGTTTTTTCCTTATTTTCTTCTTCCTTGCGCCTTTTCCTTTTCCTTTTTCGCCTGATTTTCCTTTTGCTCCTTCGAATTTTTTCTGTAGCCGTTTCTGTTTTGTTTCGGATGCTGCGCGTGGCAGGGAAAACAGCTGGCTGGCTCGTAATGATTACGGGACTTTTATGGCAGAGCGAATGCGGCACACAAAGCCCAAAAAGGGTCCCAAGGATCTCGAGGATGTCGAGGGCGGGGACCTTCTGTACCTGGAGTCCTCCGCCCACTTGTTCCGCCACCCCGCACTCTATCATTCGC